GTTTGTTCCTCCCTCCCCCGGCCGCTGAACAGGCTCGGCAGAGCTGCTCAGGCTTCCCGGTGGCTCCGCCATCCGGCGCTCTAATGCGGGGCGCGGGGTTAGCCTCCGTGGTCCCTGCCGCCCCCTCACAACACCCCAGGAGAAAGGGTGTTAATGAGATTATGTACACATACAAGACAACACAAATTCATATATAATGTCATATATTTAGTTGCTAACAAGGCCAGATTAACTCTCCCGTTAAGCCAGGGCTATTAGGTTTTATGGGTCACCTGGGGGTTTGGAGTGTAAAAGTGGGCTCAGAGCTAGGGAAGAGGATTGGGGTGAGGAAAGGGGGGCAGCTCCAGCTAGAGGGGTGGTGTCTAAGGAGGGGACATGGATGAGACAGGGGGTTGGGATACAGCATGAAGTTATGAGTGTGGGGTCTGGGTGCAGGAGAGGACTCAGGGCTGGGACAGAGGGTTTGGATGAAAGTGGGTGTGTGGTGTGAAGGCTCTGACTGGGAGGCACTTACCTTGGGTGGTTCCTGGTCCATGCCACTGCAGGGCTAAGGCATGGCCCCTGCTTTTCCTGGCTTTGTGCTGCTGTGCTCCCCTAGGTGGCCAGCAAGTCTGGCCCATAGGCAGAGAGGTTTGGGGACCAGTGTCCAGCCTGCAGTGCAAACATGCCATGGGCCGGATGAAAAGAAGCAGCAAACCCGTAGCGTATGGGGACCCCTTAGCCAAGGCCCTTAGTTGCAGCCCGTAACGGCCCTTGTTAATCCGGCCCTGGTTGCCTGGAGACATCAAAGTTCTGAAAATGTGTACAACTCTCCATGGCAACCTTAGTATGTACATTCTGTACATTAAAAAAAATATCCTCTGCTTGTTGATGAAGAGACCAGAGATAGAAGTGGCATATGTATTTTCCCAGCCCATCCATAAACTTCTTTCGAGAGCCTACTTGGAGTGTGCAGTAGATGGAAAAAACTTGTATGTGCCCATCCCTTCATCCACCTGCATAGCATTTTTTCAGGACTCCAGTGTTTCAGTAACAGACAGGTCCTGTCAAAAGCAGATGTTTGCTTGAAAGTGGAATGTAACCTGGGGCTCTTGGGTCTTAATATATGAGCCTCTACTGCATGAGCTAAAAGCCAGCTGACTCATCTCGGACTGTAGAGCAGACTCATTATTCTCGCTAAGTGGTCTAGATGCCACTAGATGGGACACTACCACACCCAGTAGGTATGTGGGTGACACTTGCACAGACTTCTTCAGTGGGGTGAATGACTAAATGAACAATATTTTTGTGTCTCTTTTTAGTTAAGAAATGCAAATGGACTTGAGCCACTGGTTAAACTGCTACATTCTAAGAATGATGAAGTCAGAAGAAATGCCTGTTGGGCTGTTATGGTTTGTGCAAGCGATGAACTAACAGCAGTTGAACTTTGCAGAGTAGGGTGAGTAGAAGTGTCAGGGGTAGAGCGGGTGCTTTAGAAAAAAATAGATTGAAGTGGGGCTCACCTGTTGTTACTGTTGATTCATAGAATCATAGAACTGGAAGAGACCTCAGAAGGTCATCAAGTCCAGCCCCCTGCACTAGGCAGGACCAATTCCAACTAAATCAACCCTGCCAGGGCTGTGTCAAGCCGAGACTTAAACACCTCTAGGGATGGAGACTACACTACTTCCCTAGGTAACCCATTCCAGTGCTTCACTACCCTCCTAGTGAAATAGTTTTTCCTAATATCCAACTTGGACCTCTCCCACCACAACTTGAGACCACGATTGCTCTGAACTCCAGTATAAAGAGGGAGAAAAACCTGTTGAAAGTCTATGGGTTAAGTTTAAAGGAGAAAACAACAGCAGTGATGTTGTGGTTGGTGTCTGCTACAGGCCACCGAATCAGGTGGATGAGGTAGATGAGGCTTTCTTCAGACAACTGAGTGAAGCTTCCAGATCGCAGACTCTGATTCTCGTGGGGGACTTTAATCACCCTGACATCTGCTGGGAAACCTATATGGCAGTACATAGGCAATACAGGAAGTTTTTGGAGAATGTTGGGGATAACTTCTTGACACAAGTGCTGAAGGATCCCACCAGGGGCCGTGCGCAGCTTGACCTTCTGCTCACAGCAGGGAGGAACTAATAGGGGAAGTGGAGGTGGGTGACAACCTGGGAAGCAGTGATCATGAGATGGTAGATTTCAGGATCCTGACCAAAGGAAGAAAAGAGAGTAGTAAAATACACATCTTGGACTTCAGAAAAGCAGATTTTGACTCCCTCAGAGATCTGATGGGCAGAATCCCCTGGGATGTTAACATGAAGGGGAAAGGAGTCCAGGACAGCTGGCAGTATTTTAAAGAAGCCTTATTGAAGGCACAGAAAGAAACCATCCCGACGCATAGCAAAAGAGGCAAACATGGTAGGAGACCGGATTGGCTTACAGGAGAAATCCTTGATGAGCTTAAGCACAAAAAGGAAGCTTACAAAAAGTGGAAACTTGGACAAATGACCAGGGAAGAGATTAAATGTATAGCTCGAGAATGCCGGGGGGTTATCAGGAAGGCGAAAGTGCAAATGGAATTGTGAATTGCTAAGGATGTGAAGGATAACAAGAAAGGTTTCTACAGGCATGTTAACAAGAAGAAGGTGATCAGAGAGGGTGTGTTGCCCCTAATGGATGAAGGAGGTAACCTAGTGACAGATGGGCTGTGTCTACATTGGCACCCTTTTCCGGAAAAGGGATGCTAATGAGACACTTCGGAATTGCAAATGCCGCGGGGGATTTAAATATCCCCCGCGGCATTTGCATGAACATGGCTGCCGCTTTTTTCCGGCTCTGGGTTTTGCCGGAGAAAAGCACCAGTCTAGACGGGATCTTGCGGAAAATAAGGCCTTTTCCGGAAGATCCCTTTCAAGTAGGAATAAGAGATCTTCCGGAAAAGGCCTTATTTTCCGCAAGATCCCGTCTAGACTGGTGCTTTTCTCCGGCAAAACCCAGAGCCGGAAAAAAGCGGCAGCCCAC